TTTAAATTAGTGTTGTCCCACAGTCATTAGCCTGTCTGGCCACCATGGTCCACCTGAGCCAGTGGCACCAAAAAAATCAGAGTTGTGCTAATCTGGATTCCCCAGTAAGGGGATCCCCAAGGCCACCAGATCCCAGCAGCCAGCAGGTGACTGGGGCTGCAATGCTGCTCCCTGTGAAGCTGCTGGCAGTGGGGATGACTCCGGGCTTGCCCCCAGAATGTTTTCTGAGAAGATCCTGCAACACCAGGCAGCATTCCCCTCCATTGGTTTGGTGGATTTTGATCTCATGTTTTGAGCATCCAGGGTTTATCAGAGGGCAGACAGAAGGTTTAGGAGACTCAGAGGGGATTAGGGATGAAATTAAAGCAAATCAAGGGCTGCTCGCGATGCGCGAGGTGGTACCACACGGCAAGGTGCAGAGGCTGGGGAGAGAGAAGCCCTGATGGCTGCTTAACTCCTTCCTCTGGTTTCTGCTGTATGGAACAGCAGGGTGTTCTCTGCACCCTCAACAAGAGAAGCTGTTCCACCTGAGTTAAAATTATTTTTGGCTCACTACTGGACCAAATCTTTAGCTGCTCCCAACTGCTCACTCCAGGTTCAACTCCTACCAACCTCTAGCTTGCTGGGGCTCCCCAAGCTGCCTCGGTGGGGCTGGCAGTGCTGGTCACACCATCTGCTCGCTGGTGTTTGCAGGAGGTGGCAAACATCTCGAGCTTTGCAGCCTCAAGGAGGTCAATAGGATGTTGATCCTCCAGGGCTTTTGGCTGCAAATATTGTCAGCATGCTGGCACAAACTGGGCTGTCCCACCACGGCAAGGACTAGCCACCAACGCCAACCAGGTGTCTTCAGCACCCATCTTCCAACACAACGCTGCGGTCGGCACAGCTGTGGGTCAACTCTCCGGCAGCTGGGCAGTGAAACACGACTGGCTTCCCCGCGGCAGGGATTTGTAGCCTGTCCCCAGCGTGGCGGTGGCTCACACGAAGCAGGACTGTACATTCCCACAGCGTTTGTTTGGGGCGGGAGAGCTGCTGCAAATCCCCTGGGAGGAAAAGGCCACTTTTGTTGTCAGCGAAGCAAAGTCCTGGGACAGGTTCTGAGCTGCCACCTGCTGTCACAGCCCCAGCGGTCCTCTGGCATTTGGTCTCTTTGGGGTTACTGCAAGAGGAGCCAGGCCCTTGGGGAGGCAGAACAGAAAGGTGTTTTTCCCAGGTTATTTTCTCTAAAGCCTTTTTCACCTCTGAGGACTCAAGGGGCTGATTCTGCCATCCTGCTGCCAGCGTTACATGGCCAAACCGAGATGTGAGGTGGTGGGAGAGCACTGAAACACACAGCGTTTGCAGGGGCCAGGCGTTGGGAGGTATGCACATGGGAACAGCATCCAGTCCCGTGGCTGCCTTAGGGGGGATCGGTGTTATTTTTCTATCCCTTTACTGCCTCAGTGACAAGGCAAACAAGGGGAATAAAAGGGCTGGAGAGGGCTGGATCTCTTCCTTCCTTTCATCTGGTCCTTTCACGGATCAAAATCCTTTCATGCATCTCCCAAGCTGGGAAGGCAAATGTGTCGGACTGAAACACAGCACGAGAGTGAACTTCATCAAGAAGAAGGAGGGGGAAAAAAAATGAGTAGAAATCTTTTGGGCACAGGCAAACAGGTGGGGGGAGCGTCTGGTCTGCGAAGGCAGGGTGTCTGCAATCTTTGTAGCGATTAGATTTAATGGGACAGAAACGTTTCTCTCCTTCATGTCCCCTCCTCCTCTCAGCCTGAGGGGGAGAAAGGAGGGAGGTGGTGATGGGGAGGTGGCGGTGGGGGGAGAGAAGATTTGAAAGAGTCTTTGACGTCAGCCCTGCCCTATAAAAAGCTGGCAAAGAGCTGGAAAGCGGAGATCAGAGCTCGTGGAAGAGCAAAGATGCCAACCCCGAACGTCTCCACCTCTGCAGCCAAAGGCTTTCGCAGGGCGGTGTCGGAGCTGGACTCCAAGCAAGCCGAGGCCATCATGGTAAGACAACCCTACCCCACTTCTTTCCCTCCCCTTCCAAAAATTGCAGCCTCTTCTGTAGCTATAGGCAGAGGCGGGGATAGATGGACCAACACTGCCTTTGTGGGAGTTCCCCCAGATGGGCACCTCCGGGCTCCAGACTGGCAAAGGGAAATTTCCCAAACAGTTCTCTTGACATACTGGTACATGTGAAATGCGAACATTTAGGGAGATGAAAGCCTGAACTAATACAACCACCCCCCCTGGCCCAACCAAAAGTGAGGTAAATAACCCGTAGACCTACGGCAGGAATAACAAGGAATCCCTGGTGTGAAAGGCATTCAAAAATCTTAATGCTCTCCTAATTTCAAGACATTAAACCGCAGAGATTTCACCTGTTTTAGCATAATGAAAAACTGTGGCTGCTATTTCAGACAACATACGAGGCGCGGGCAATTTAATCAGTTTGCTGCTGCTGTGTTTGCCGTTTCCCTCTCTCCCAGCACATCCTTCCCCTGTTTCTCTTCCCAGCCCTCCCTGGAGGGGTCTCAGCACCGTGTTTAGCCTGGAGAATGCTTCTGTGAGCACCAGATCGGTATGTGTCAGGGAAAGGAGAGGAAAACTTCCAAATCAAGTGTCTTTAGAAAGCCCAGTCTGGCCAACCCATTGGACTGGCTGTAACCACAGTGACATTTCACCTCCCAACCCAAATGCCAGGGCAGGCAAGAGGAGCCCGGAGACTCCCAGCATGGGACAGTCCTGTGGGTCAGAGATGTGGCCAGGCTGTGGGCGACCCTGGGGAGCCAGGAGCTGCTGGTGGCAGCGGGTGCACCGGGAGGGGACCCCCTTGGGATGGCAGGATGAAACCCAGGAACTGAGCCGGGTTAGAGAGCAGGTGTGTCTGGCAGATTCTGCAGGGTGACACAGCAGGGCAGTTAGAGAGCTTCCCATTGCCCTCCCCTGCACCTGCTGCCTTTCGCACTCACTCTCCTCTTAACCCTGTGTGAGGCTCTGACTTGGTAAAATCAGCCACTACCTAGGAAGAGAGAGGTGTTTTGGAGAATGCAGAGTGCTGGAAAGGAAATATTTAAGAAACAAGGAGGTAAGCTTGCTTTCTCTAATAAATGGAAATTGGGAAAGGCTTCCCTCTCACACTCATTTTCATTCTGATAAAATAATGAACACTTAAGTGGTTCTTGAAAACCTGGTATTTTCCAGGCTGCTCATCAAATCAGTACTTGAGATGCTTGTTAATATCTGGAGAAGGGGCGAGTGTTTGGTTATTACACACTCTGGGGTGATGCTTGTTTGATGGGAAATGGGCCACGGAATGACAGTGCCAGAGGAACTGGGGTTCACCAGGTGTGCTGGCAGGAGCTGGGCAGCCTGCTTGGGGTGAGCCTGGGCTGGATATAAGACCTCAGCCCGTCTTTGTGTCCCTTCTTTGAATGGAAATTCTCAGAAAAATAAATTAAAAAACTTTATCCCGGGTAGGATCACTCTGAGAGCAGGCTGCATGAAGGGCTTTGCCTTTACTCTCACCTCCACAATCCCATCACTTATTTTGCTGGCAAGATGCATGACTCTGCATTTGTCTGTGACAGTGTGTGTCCCCAGCCCTCGTGGTGTCGGCATGACCACGAGTGATCGGCTACCCAGCCTCTGCCCACCACCGCACCAGGGTCTGAGCTGTTCCCTTGCCATTAGCCCCAGGGACCAGCACCCCACTGCAGGCAAACCGTGCAAACTGCAGGGAAAAAAAAATATCGTTGCCATCCCAGAACCCATCTACACCAGCAGGTTTTACATGTTGACTGGACCAGCCAAACACCAGACTCACATTGCGAAAAATTCTTTTGTTACATATTTTGTTTTTCTGCTGCTAACAGTTTTTACAAGCCACCCTGGGAGTGTCGCTGAGCAGGGTTTGGTTACAGAGGACACAAGCAGAGCCAGGACAGCAGCTAGAGGCAAAGCAGCAGGATGGAGCATCCAGGGAAGCAGGGGTGGGACACTACTGACCCCATGCTGCAGGGAGGGAAATAGTCTTTACAATCCTTCCTGCTTGTTGCAAATAATGAGCCAGGAAAAAAAAAAAAAAAAAAAGCGGAAACACTTTAATTCAGAAGAGAGTATTTTTAATGACAGTACTCAGGCTGGGCACTCTGATCTGCGGTGAATTCAAAGAAGGAAAAACGAACTAACCCTTCATAAGAGGTGAATGACTGTATCAGACCCAGGCGCCCAAATAAATGCTTTGCAAAATCAAACTAAAGTTCTCACTGTAGCTAGATACACACTCAGGGAGCTAGTCTGCAAGGCAAATACCCATGTAACGGAGCCTTCCGAAGAAAGGAAGGCATTTCTCACGAGAGATCAGTTTGCTTAGTTTATATCCCAGATTCCTAATTTTCCACAGAAGGAGGTAATATCCCCATCAGCATAAATGTGAGGGGCGTGCAGCCCGGCAGAGGAGGCAGCAGGCAGGCTTCCAGAGCTCTCCTCCCAAGCAAAATTCAAGCAAAATTCAGCCCCTTTTTTTTTTTTTTTTTTTTTTTTTTTTAAATTTTCCCACCCAAACCATGTCAGCATGGAGCTAAGCAGCTTCCAGGACCCCTCAACAGGGACCAAAACCCCCTACTCCTGCCTGCCAGGGGCCACCCAGTCCCAGCACATGGGTCTGACTGGTTGGGCTGCCTCTCCCAGTGGGGCTTTCCAGTCAACAGGTCTTCTCACTATTTAAACTCCTCCCAGTCAGATTTTAACCTGATTTACAAGCAGGTAATTTCCCTCCTCTCCACCCCAGAAGCAAAATCCTGGTGCACCTCCGTGCCTTGGGGCACAGTGTGCTGGAACATCCTCAGCTGATGCGCTGCCTGTCTTGGGACCGCTGCAGAGCCCAGCACAAGGCTGTTTGCCCAGCTTATTGCAGGCGCTTTAAAGCAAACACCAGCTTAGCTTCAACCACGGTGGTGATATAAAACACACACTTAAAGCTGGGCACATGCTCACAGGCTTTTAAAAGTTATGGCTGAGGATACTTATTGGATGTCTTCTCTCTTTGGGCATGAATAGTGTTGATTTAGACAAGCAGCAATATGTGCTTATGTGTTAGAAGGTGGTTTTCTGCGCCACAAGGAATAAAGGGTTGAGGATCAGCAAACATAATTTCAGAGGGGTATGTTTATTAAAGAAAGGCTGGAGAGAAGTGTGTGGACTGGCGCCTAGATGTGCAGTGTTTGTCAGGCTGCATTTATAATGCCAGCTAAAGCATCCAAGAGGATTTTCACAGGAAACATGAGTTACTGATGGTAGGCTTTGAAAATCAGAGAGGAAATGGGCTTAGTAGTTGATCAGGCTACCTTTTTAAAAGGAAAACACTCTCCAAATTTTCACAAGGTAGGGAATATGCTGCTTGGTTATATATTTTCAAAATATTTTCAACATAATCAGAGGGAAACCTGCAGCCGGTCCTGCTTTGTACACAGGTGCTGGCTGGCTTTATATGCTGCTCCTTTCTCAGTGATGCCCCAGGTTTCTTTTAGCAAGTTCTGAGGGTTTGTCATCTGGTTTGGGTATTGAACACAGAAAATGGGAAACAGCTGAGCTAAACGGAAACTTGGTTGTAAAAAGACCAAGAACAAATAAGCTAGTGTATGAGCTATTTGTATAACAAGAGAAACAGGAGGGATGGCAATAGTTTGTGGCTCCCTATAAACATAAACGAGTGACCTAATATGACCCCAGGCACAGAGCTGCAGGATTTTAGGTGCAATTCCAAGTACCAGAAATCTGCAGGAGTTTGCTGGGACAAAACAAATCTATAGATCAGTGGAAGGAATTTATTTTCTGGTGTGTATGGATGCAATTGCAATTACACTTCAATGGGCAAGCTTCCACTTAATGTCAGAAGAAAATGTCACGCTGGATCCTGGGAGAAGTTTAGCTAAGCTGCCCTGCTAATACCCCTGCAAACAGTTCATCTTCCTGGGCCAGGCCACAGCTGTGGGCTTCAGCTGTCCCTCGTAGTGTATCTTTTCTCAGATTACTTCATGTTTATCTAATGCCTCTCCACTGGAGTTCTGCAGACACCTGAAAACGGCATAGGATTGTTTCTGATTTTTATTTTTTGAAGGGTGTTGAAAACTGTTGCTAGGCAAGGTGAGGGGAGAAGCCCACTCTTTAGTCATGCTACAGGGATATTTTACACAGATTTTTCCTAAAGCTCCGCGTTTCTGAAAGTTCAGTTCTAAAGCCTCCGTCCTTGTCACCAGATCTTCCTCTCCAAAGCCAGACAAGTCTGTCCACCCTTGTGCTTCTTCCTCTGCTGAGGCACATTGGTCACACCTCACCCAGCTACCAGGGATGCCTGTGATGTCTCGGAAGTGTTATTTATTTCTGTTCTGCCTTCAGTCTCCGCGGTTCATCGGTAGACGTCAAAGCCTCATTGAAGATGCCAGGAAGGAAAGAGAGGCTGGGGGCCCACTGATGCCACAGAGTCTACAGAAACCATTGTCTTTGAGGAGAAGAACGGGAGAGCCATGCTGAACCTCTTCTTCATGCTCAAGGGAGCCAAGACTTCACCACTATCCCGTGCACTTAAAGTATTTGAGGTGAGTACCTAACCTGGTGTACCGGGCTCAAAGAATATGCCACACATTTCATGGCTGTTCTGTAAGAAATACCACTTGAGTCACCTAAAGAAGACTCAGACTAGACCTGACTACTGCCAGTTATCAGTCAATTGTCTGATCTCCCCGCAGTCATGCTTTGCTCATGCCCCAGTGTGCCCTCACTTTCCATCACTAGCAATGAGCCTGTCTGGTAGGGCTGTTAAACTCTGGGCTTAACTTTGCCTAATGACTGGAGCCAGCCACACAGTTTCACACCTACAATCCACACCTTTGTGGTGTGTCCCATACCCTGACAGCCCCCTCCACTGCTCAGCACTTCAACTTCATCACACATTCAAAACGTGCCATATGCCCTGCATGGCTGCAGACTAAACCTGCCTCGCTTGTGGGTCAAGGCTTTGGCAGTCTCTGAACGGCATTGCCACACTGATCCTTGGTCAAAGAGTTACAGGAACAACTTCACCCCGGGTGTAAAATGGGCATATTGATTTCAAAATTAGCTCCCTACTTCAGGGATGAATTTGATTCACATGTTAAAGGTTCTGTTGGTTCCTCCCAGAGATGCACGCACTCTGTATATGGCTTTAATACCAAGGAAAAGTGGTAACTAATTGAGCTTTTTCCCCCTAGCCAGCAATACAATGTTGCATTATCTAGGATCTCAGTACCATGAATGGAAAGACTGAGATAAGTGCTGCCTATTTAAACAGTAATCAAAACACGACAACTTGCATTTGCGTAGCATGTTTTCATCTAGAAGGATTCAAAAGTGTTTCGCAAACTGAGTTCTGAGATATGTGTTATCTACAGGAGTTTAATTTAATTGACTTCAGCAGGGAGAGGACAATTTGTTCCTATTCATCAGTCACATGGGTTGTAAGGGGCCTCTGGAGGTCTCTGGTCAAACCTCCTGCTCAGAGCAGGTCCAGGCACAGCAGGTTGCTTGGGGCCGTATTTGTTGCATTTTGAATATCACCAAGGTGGAGATCCCACAGTCTCCTCTGACCCCTTAAGCAGTGTTTGACTGCATGGTAAAAAGCTTTTTCTCTTTTCTTTTTTGTTCCAATGTCCTTGCTTCCAGCTTGAGCCCATTGCCTCTTGTCCTCCCACTGTGTACTTTTGAGACAAATCTGTCTTCTTTACACCCTCCCACCAGGTACTAGTAGACAGTGATCCAATCTCCCTTGCCACTTCACTTCTTAAGGCTGAACAAACCCAATTCCCTCAGTCTTTCTTCGTATAACTGTGCTCCAGCCCCCTGAGTATCTATACCTGCTACAACACATCAATGTCTTTCTTCTACAGGACATGGTACTCCAAATATGGTCTCCCTCATCCCAGGTACAGAGGAGCAATCACTTCCTTTGACCCATTGCCTACAGTCTTGCTGCTGCAATTCAATATGTGGTTGGCCTTTCTCACCACATGGGCATGCTGCTAGCTCATGTATTAATACACATAATAACTATATAACACCTTCTTCCCATGAAAAGCAACCACTTCTTGGGTAAAACCAGTTCACCAGCAACACTATACAGCAAAACCACTACCTACCAGCTGTAAACATATTAAAAAATGTGTTTGGTGGATAAATATTTCCCTGCAATTGTAGGGTGTTCTAGCTGTCCATTGCCCACGCACTCTCTGTGATAATCTTGTGAAAAGTGTTTCAGATATTCAGAAATTACAAAACATCTTGCATCTCCTCCAAGAGGACTGTTGCAAGAAAAGCTGTTTTCTGAACAACATAGGGTTCTTGTCTCAAGACGGAAAGAATCCTTAAGACAAGCTTGTCAGACAATAGCCTTGGTGTTGTCGTGGCTGAGGTCTCCTTCCTAGCAGTGCACAGCTGCCAGACAAGGCATGAGAAATACATCGGCGTGACATTTCAAATGCAACACACTGCTTAGCGGGTATGAAACATGGAAGTGTAGGCTCTTATACTTGGTAGATTTTATGTTACATTGCATTTAAAGTCTATAATTGAAATAATTTTTAGAACATCAACCAAGAAGCAGAAGCAGCTTATGTTCAAATATTATTTGTTTCTTCCTGGAGCAATTTACTTGCTGCATCAAGAGTTCTCGGTAAAAAGCTCTTTGAGCTTGTCGCAGAGAGAGATTTAAATATAATAAAAAGACAAGCATGTCAAGCCACAACAGAGGAAGATTCATTTCCCAGATCCCTCTGGCAATGCAGGTACAAGATATGAAAGCAGACAGGCATAATGACATTTGCCTCATCATGAACCAGGCTGCAGGGAAGCTGTTTTCACTCTGCCGTATGTGTTACATGCAGCCAAAGCATAGGTAATGCAATCACGGCTGTCAGATTAATGCAAAGGTATTGATTGTTGAGGGGACAATGTAATAGTGAAGTTGGTAGGTACATTCAAAAACACAGTCCTAAATTGAATTTACCTGTGGCATCGCATCTGTTCCTTCTCATCTTTCTGCCTCTGGTTAACAAAAGAAATCATGTCCCTTCCTTTACCAAAGATCTTGCAGAGACACTGGAAAGGTTGGGTCATTGTCCAGGGATTTGGTCTTGTACTGCCTGTTTTCACTGAGCTAAAGAAAGTATCCACAAATCTACCAGGGCCCTTTGGAAGACTATAGACTCCATTTTCATAGAATCATAGAATCAATCACAGAATCATAAAATCATAGAATCATAGAACGGTTTGGGTTGGAAGGTACCTTAGAGATCATGAAGCTCCAAACCCCCTGCCATGGGCAGGGACACCTCCCACTAGCCCAGGTTGCTCAAAGCCTCATCCAGCCTGGCCTTGAACCCCTCCAGGGATGGGGCATCCACAGCTTCTCTGGGCAACCTGGGCCACTGCCTCACCCCCCTCACACTGAAGAATTTCTTTCTAATATCTCACCTAAATCTGCCCTCTTCCAGTTTAAATCCATTACCCCTCGTCCTGTCGCTGCATGCCTTGCAAAAAGTCCCTCCCCATCTCTCCTGTAGCCCCCTTTCAGCACTGGAAGGCCTCCCAGAGGCCTTCTCCAGGCTGAACGACCCCAACTCTCCCAGCCTGTCCTCCTGCAGGAGGTGTTCCAGACCTCTGACCATCTTTGTGGCCCTCCTCTGGACCCGCTCCAAAAGCTTGATGTTGGGGGGCCCAGAACTGGATGCAGTACTCCAGGTGGGGTCAGTTTTCACTGAGATAAAGAAAAGATCCACAAATCTACCAGGGCCATTTGGAAGACTATAGATTCCATTTTGTCTCCTTCTGATTCTCTGAGGGAGGTCAGTTGTGATAATGCGCCTGGATGATACCAGATCTGTCAGTGAGCCCCAGATAAACTCTGCGGCAGCCCGGGCAGGGCTCAGCCCCGCTGGTTCAGCACCATGGACGGCGTCGCACCTCCTGTGCGCGCCCCTTTCACGTCATCTCCAAACCACCCCAAAACAGCAAAAAAGCACCTTTGTCTTAAGTAGGAGATTAAAGGAAAGGGGGTCATAGGAGGTGGCATATTGCTACATCAATTAAATCAGTTCTCCCTCTTGATACGATCTTCTTTGCCACTGTGGAAGTAAGTCTTCTGTTGATAGTTGTTGACCAGTCGCACTCGTGGACTGCCCAGAAGGAAAAACTGGAATTAATGGATGTATGTTTCCCAGTGGGGGGAAAAAAAAAAAGAAAAAGAAGAAAAAGACAAGGGGGGATCCCTTCCAAATGTATCCACATGGACATCTTTGGGAAGTACCAGCTGTTGTTTCAAGCGTAGTTTAATGTTTTTCTTCTCCTTTTCCATGTCCCCAAAGACATTTGAAGCCAAAATTCACCACCTGGAGACCAGGCTTAGCCGAAAGCCCCGTGAAGGGACCGCTGAACTGGAGTACTTTGTCCGCTGTGAAGTCCACAGCTCTGACCTCAATACTTTCATTAGCTCCATCAAGAGGGTAGCAGAAGATGTGAGGACCACTAAGGAAGACAAATGTAAGGAACTTACAGACTGTTTCAGTTTTGTGGAGAGGCTGGGCTGTAGACACAGGGTGGAGACTTTGTTACTCTGAGAAAAGGAGAAGGGAGGAGGGCTACCTTATGCTGAGTAAAACAAAAAATACTGTCTTGGGACACCTAAATCCTGGAAGCCACTTCCCTCCTTGCCCATTTCTCAACAGACTCCAGGGTCCATCACTCATTCTTCTGGTGCAAAATTGAAAAAAAACACTAGAAATAAGAGATGAAATTTTATGTTTTGTTCACACCTCTGCTGCTGAGTTCTCCATCCCTGCTCCTGTTTTATATTATAAATGTAAAGTAGTTTCGTACCTATGCATCAGGAACTCTGCACAGATCCAGCGCTAAACTACTCGACACTCCCCATGACATCTTGTTTTGAAGATGGGGTGCTTCTTATTGTAAAATATCCCTAGAGATCTGCAGTGATCGCTTTACAACCAGATGGACCACTGGATTTGTTTTTAATGTGAAGTCTTGAATCTTTAAGTAAAATCCAATTTTCATCTTCTTCTTTACTTTTGTCACAAAATACTCTGCTGAGAGATGGGCAGGGAAGTCATAAGATGGAGATCATGGTGTTAGACCTGACTCTAGGAGTGGAGCATTGAGAGTGTGGGACTAATTCCCAGAAGGCACAGCTGTGTCACGTATTGTTTTGTGTGTGCATTTGGTGCACCAGTTTAGATGTATATAATTCGACCTCACAACCCTTTTCAACAGAGGATGCACCATCTTGACTTTCACAGACAGTTTTTCTCTTTTTCTTTCCCCACAGTTCACTGGTTTCCAAGAAAAATCTGTGAACTGGACAAGTGCCACCATTTGGTCACCAAGTTCGACCCTGACTTGGATCTGGATCACCCGGTGAGTGAGTCTGTGTGGCCACATCTTCATGTTGGAGCCCTGAGCACTCCCTCAGAAGCAGGGAGCTGGGGAACACCCATTAGTGCAGCCGACCAGGGAACTGTGGTGCAATCACCACCATGAGAGAAGTTCCTCCAGCCAGTGATGAACTTTGTTGGGTGAGAAGTTTTACTAACTGATTAAAAATCCCATCTCTGTTCCTATTTGTCATCACAGGGCTACTCTGACCAAGTGTATCGTCAGAGAAGGAAATCGATAGCAGAAATTGCTTTTCACTATAAGCAGTAAGTCTCTTTCCTAACATCCATGCATGTTATGCCATGCCAATACAACCTATTGGGAAGTTATTGTACTACTTGCATGAGACTTCTTTTATGTTTTGTCTCCCTGTTCAGCCTTGACAGCTCTTCTTGTGTGCCTCTTCTCTCTATGTGTTCTAGTTTCTTCTTAAGTAAAAAATGTCTGTGGTCATTAATTCATACATTGATAGAGCCAGAATAAACCTCCCATGTAACAAAGGCTACGTACAATTCCATCAGACCTCAAATTCCATTTTGAAACGTAGCGTTTCTTTTAGAATGACATCTAGTCTTGCCTTCAGTGTTTCAAGTACTGAAAAAGCTACAGAAAACTTGTTCCAATGATTCATTATCCTGGCTGTGAAAAAAAAATGTCGGTTTTATTTCTAAACTGAACTTTGGTAGCTTTAGCTTTCACCCAATGGATCATACATATCTTTCAGCTGCTAGATTGAATTCTGCTATCAGATTTTTTTTTTTCTTTCTGTGAGGGTATTTATAGACTAAATGGTTCACCTCCTGATTCTCTCTTATAAATTAAATAGATTCCAGTAATGGTCTCAAGATTGTCTTATATAGATTTAAGAATATAGATTTAAGACTATTTCTTGTACGCCTACTTAATAATCCTGTTCTGATATATGCAGTGATAGCACTCAGCCTCTTCACTACAACATCAGAGCTCTAATATTCAGCTGGGTTTGTAAAATGTTCCCTAGATCCTATTCAGTAACACTGCCTTCCACCGTAGCATCTCCCTCTCAAAGCAGGTCTTTAAATGTAGATTTCTGTAGCAAGCCGTGCTGAAAGCAGGCTATGGAAATTATATGGGTCACCTTCTTGAGCTATCCCTGCAACTGGTGTGATCCCAGCGTGGCTTTCTGCTCTGTTAGGTGTCATGATCTTTGCAGATTTGAAGCCCAGAATATAGACATTGATATTGTTGGGTTGGACTTGATGATCCTTGAGGTCTTTTCCAACCTTAATGATTCTATGATTCTATTATTTTTAACCCGTACTAATACTAAATGCACAGAAAGTCACTGTGCCAGCAAGAGGGTCCTGAGGGACACAGGAAGAAATCCTCTCCTATGATGATGCACCCATCTGAGATGTTTTCTCTCCCATCTGATCTGCAGGTTAGCATTTACGAGCTGCTGTGTAGCATACCTTCAGGCTGGTAATGGAACAAGGACGGTGCTTTATCACTGTAATATGTGAATATCTCATTTGTTCAAATACACAACAGGAGGGTTTAGGAAATACAATTACTAACTGTGATGTAAAAAAGGCAAAAGTGTCAGTCTTCTTTAGTTCCCGCTTATATTAATGTTAAGATTTTCATGTCTTGCCACCCTTAATCTTACTGACAATATATTTTTCTGCAATTCAAATGCTTTTAGTTTTCCTTATGAGCTGCTTTTATTTCCCAGCCACTTATTCATTCTTGGAACCACCAGCTCCCTGCAGTTCAGGCATATGAAATTAATTTATTTTCACACAAAGTTTCCATTTTTGCCAGTGAAAAACATTTTTTTCCTGAAAAACATTATGCCTTCTAAGCTTTTGCTCATCCTTTGTCCATTTATAATCTCTGGCTCCACTAATGCTTTTCTCTGTGCCCGTGTATATGTTACAACTGTCAAATGAGTCAGTACCAAGGTTTTGTCTTTTCTGTCTCCCCCTTGTTTGGTTTAAAGAAGATTCATCAACAGCATGCAGAGCTTCTCCAAAGTGGTCCCTTCTCAAAGGGCAGAGGAGCTTGTGCTCTGCTGCTGTCGGTAACGGTGCGTTTGCCTTGCAGCGGGGACCCCATCCCTCACGTGGAGTACACGCCAGAGGAGATCGCTACCTGGTGAGCACTGATTTAATTTGTGACCTCTGTTGGCTTCACCAGTAGAAGCTGGGAATCAAGACCTAAATGTTAGGGCACGACCTCTTGAAAATGTATCCAAGCATACTACTTAATGGTTTGTTATAAAATCAGTAGCTCATTGCATGGCGTTTTATGGCAGAGACTGCCTTCAGGAGAGCAAGCTGTCTCCAAAACAGTGATGCTCTGTCTCCTTCTCTCTCGGGGCTGCACCAAAAGCACTTTCATGCTCCAGCCCCGAGGAGTTTCCTCTAAAGGAGCCTACCCGGAGGGCGAGGTTGATAATTCCCTTCTTCTCCAAGGGAACATGGCTTAGGAGCAGCCTCCAAACAAAGGGCAGTTATCATAGCTGCAGAAAGGAGTATGAGGCTCATGGTGAATATCTGCAGGGTGCATCGCGGGCCTCACTTAGGAAACTGCTTCCTTGGACATCATCATTTCCAGGGGTGTCAGTGCAGGGGTGTCTCTGCAAACAAAGCCAGCTCATACGAGCTGAGCATGCAGGCTCCTGAGCAAGGGAATCTCCGGGTTATGTTGACTGTCTTCAGAGTGCAACTTCAGGAGCTAACCTACAGGGAATTTTTTAATTCCTGTTAATCTCATTTACACAATCTTCTGACCCTCAAGGTCATAAGTAGGTCTGTGCAAATGCAACTGCTGACTTTGCAGGCTCATTTGAACATGTGTGTGTGTGTGTGCGCACAGGCATAGACTTAGGGGTGGAGAAAAGCAAAAGGACAAGAAATCTAGAGGCATGAGTCCTTAGTGTATAACCAGAGGACAGGAGAGGACCAGACATGCCAAGCCACTGAACGTCTGCCACCTCTCGCCCTGAAGGAAGGAGGTGTACAGCACCCTGAAGAGCCTGTACCCCACCCATGCCTGCAAGGAGTACCTCGAAGCTTTCAATCTGCTGGAGAAATTCTGTGGCTACAGCGAGAACAACATCCCTCAGCTGGAGGAGGTCTCCCGCTTCCTGAAAGGTGGGTACAAGCCTGGAGGACCCAGGCCCAGGGTCTGCCAGGGCTCCAGCATGGTGCTGGCAGCTACAGCCAGGAAACCTGAAGCCGTAGGAGGAACATGTGAGCTGAGATTTGGGAGGAGAGCTGGTGCGGGCTTGTGTGTTGCCCACAGAGGACAAAGGTAGACCCCAGGCAGTGCAGCTGAACACAGTGGGCTGCAGCTGAAGGTCAAGCCCATGGTCAAATGATGCCACTGAGCACCTAAAGAACAGATGTTGGTCCCTAGTAGGAGCAAAAAGATGAGACCTGGCACAGCAGAAGCCCTTTAGTTTCCAGCACTGATGCTTTGGTGTCTGTGCTGGGAACACGGGGCAGCAGCACAGCCCGTGGGCCGTGCCCCCGGTAAAGGCGGTATGTGTTGTTTCAGAGAGGACCGGCTTCCAGCTCCGGCCAGTGGCTGGCTTGTTGTCAGCACGGGACTTCCTCGCCAGCCTGGCCTTCCGTGTCTTCCAGTGCACGCAGTACATCCGCCACGCCTCCTCGCCCATGCACTCCCCTGAGCCGTGAGTATTGCCCAACCCCAACGGCCTCCCCTGCCCAGACATCCCACCTGGCCAGCAATTAACCTTTCTCCCTAATGGGCCAACTCTAGTCGCTGCTGACCATGTTCTCCTCCTTTCCCCCGGGCACCGGCAGGGATTGCTGTCATGAGCTGCTGGGGCACGTCCCAATGCTGGCCGACAAGACGTTTGCCCAGTTCTCTCAGGTAAGGTCTGTCTCCTTGTCCCCAGGAGGGCAAGGCATGAGGTGGGAACCCAACCCCAGCCTTGCCACCTAAACCATTCTTGTTCTAGGATCTATTTATATTAAACATGATGTTCAGGAGCCCTAGTGATGGACCGAGAACATCAGACTCTGCAGCAAACCATTTTTAGTCTGAGCATGATGAAGCCACAGCAGGTGCACGGCAGCGTAGTGCAACAATATGTTGTCTCAAGGCAATAAGACAGAGCAATCCATGTGTAAGACCCTCAGACCAAATCTATCCTGACATTTGCCCCTTCCTTTCTCTTCCCAGGACATTGGGTTGGCATCTCTGGGAGCCACTGATGAAGAAATTGAGAAACTCTCAACGGTAAGTTTTCCTCTCTGCTGGATGGGGGGCCAAGGGTGACTGGTCCCCCTGGTCTCCCCAGATTTGCAGGCTCAGAGCCCTCACCCAAAGCTGCCCCAGCCCTGCTCTTTCACAATGACTGTGCAGAGATCAGTTAAATAGCAGAGCTCGCTTGCAAATTAACCCAATTTTCTCAGGCACCAGAGTATCATCAAGCATCGTATTTCTAATGACAGCACTGCTGGGACTCTTTGGGATGGGATTAAATGACATCCGCTTCCTTTGGCTGTCCCTCGGCAAGGTGACCCATCCTGCTCCAAGGACACTGAACCTGCCACGGCCGCGTGCACAGGGGACCAGCCCAGGGACACCGTTGCCATCTGTCCTGGCATGGCAGCAGCTTAGTTTAGCACTTTGCAGTGACAGCAATGGGTGCAGGGTAAGGAGAGGGGTCAAAGTGCCGGGTGTCTGTTCACTTAAACAACCCCAGACCCCAGCCGCAATGCAAGGGCTCAGAAGCGACAGGGACATAAAGATGAGGTGCTGTGTCCCCTATGCGTTTTTCTTTCTCCTTTCACAGCTTTACTGGTTCACGGTGGAGTTTGGGCTCTGCAGACAGAATGGGATAATCAAAGCCTACGGAGCTGGGCTCCTGTCTTCCTATGGGGAGCTCATAGTAAGTCCCAGCATAACTTGCCTCTCTGCTCTAGACTCTATACAGCAAAAACCTTCTTCCTCTGCACAGCTCCAATGACTTTATGACAATGATTTTTCTGCTCTGTCCATAGCACTCCTTGTCAGATGAACCAGAGGTGCGGGACTTTGACCCCGACGCTGCTGCTGTTCAGCCCTACCAGGACCAGAACTACCAACCCGTGTATTTTGTGTCTGAGAGCTTCAGCGATGCCAAAAATAAACTGAGGTAGGACTGGGCAGTGAGGGAGACCCAAACAGAAGGAAATGAAGCTATGATTGGTCCTTCCCAGCCCTAACCGTTCTATGATTCTATGATTCTATGATAATATATTGAAGCAGAGCTTTACACCATGGCTGCTTTCAGTTCAAAGTCTCAGAAGTACTCGGAAACTGTTAGCAGGTCTTTCAAAGTAAAGTGATTCTCCAGTTCCTACAGCGTCCAACTTCAGTCCCTTGGATTCACCCAAGACCCCACCAAAAACATGGTGGGCTCAAGGGCGTGGGTGTGGAGGAGTGGGATGGAGCAGGAGGCTCTTAGAGACAAGACTGAGGGAGCAAGAGAAGGGACAAATCCAGCTCGTCTCCCTAGTTCTCACAGGAAGGAGTTACAGACTATCTCCAGTTCCCAGGGGAGGACAAGCAGCATAAAAGAGGGCTGGTGATCCAGAAACTGGAGACCCAAACCACCCACTGGGACCCCCTCTGCCTCCTTGCTGCAGAAGGGCCAAGTGATGCAGGTCAGGTACCAGCTGTCCCTCCTCACGGGAGCATCTTCACAGCGTGCGTTCTTCTGAAACACAGGCTTGTTGCTTTGTACGTGAAAGCTTTAGGAGAGGGGTAAAGAGCTGCTTGAAATTGTGGTGTTCTCTGAATTTAGGATGCAGAAAGATGTTTGACTTACTGAGCAGCTGCTGGGCAACTTACCCATTTATCATTTAACCAGCAAAAAAACCCCAGGCATCATTAGCAGCTTACACACAAACAAAAAATATTTGTTTGATGGGGATTTATTCATGGAATAAAATAAACTTTTGTCCCCTAGGCTGGTTAACATGGGTTAGCAGACCCTAGAGAATAACCCACCAGTGTAACTGGGTTCCTCCATCCCATGGGACTGCAGACAGAACAGAGAGGGGCAATTCTCCCACTGTTCAGAAGAGCATTTTCTTAACCAGACTCAGAATTGCCCGCAGGAGGAAAGCTCAGTCCTTTAACACTTGACTGCCAGAGGAAAACTTTGCCTACACCATTTGATCTTAGCTTAGCAAAGGGATAGGATGAGATGAGGTATTACAGGATGTATATGACTTGGCAGTTCCTGCAAGTGGGGTATTTCATATAAATAACCAGGGGATGACTGCTATATTTCAAATTTTGCTTTCATTACTTTCACTTGTGCTGTTCATACAGTCCAGACTTTGGCTGCTCAAAAGCAAGCACCTGGGGAGCCCATCCTCTCACACACACTAGGCTACTTTAAAAAAACCCCAGCTCTTGCCTCATGAGTCATTTCCTTGCATTTTAAAAGGAAAAATACATTCCATACACAGCCAAGATTAGACTAGAGGGTTTGGACAGTGACAAGCACTGTAAGTGATCCTCTTTAAAGAGCTCAGAGACCACACTGATGTTACTCTGTGAGGTGAAAACATCAAAACACCTTTTTTTTTTTTTTTTGCATTACTGGCAGCTGCCACCTGATTATCAATAGCAAGAAAAGCCTCTCTCCAGAAGGAAAACTTCCCGACAGTTTTCTAGGGACCCTCAGTGCCCTTCCAGGCACCCATGTCCTCCTTGTATAATTTCAAAAGGCATCAAAGTGAACACACCTGTGTTGGAGGGCAAGTTTCTAACCATTAGCAGCTGTGGCTGATGGCATAAATAAGCGAGGTGAGTTAGCTCTTGCCTGGGAGAGCTGGGGGCACTGAGGTGAACTGTATCTTTTAGGAGAGGGATAATGTGGGTATGCAGGAAACCTGTCTGTTTGCACTTACTTTTGTTTCCCTACTAGTATGGCAGCTCCTTGCAAGTGCCAGCCTGTGGCTTTGGCTATGTTGTCACTTGCCCCTGTCTGGGGCTGGTGGTGTTTTCCCCAAACCCTGGCAATACAGGACTAGGCTTCCCCATGGCTTGTAGTACCAGCCAGAGGAGCATCGGAGAAAAGGATGTGCTTCCCTGAGCCCTGTGCCAGAGCAGACCCACGGTAGCCACAAGAGGGTACCCTAAGCTCAGCAATTCAGGAGTGAAAGGGTGAAGCCTCAGCAGAGGCAAGGAGCATTCCTGTTGCTAGTGCTGCTTGTCCTTCATCTTCCCAGGCCTTTCCAGTGTGAAACTGTAGCCATGAGTGCCTAAAGATGGACTTCCAGCTCCTACAGAAAAGATGGGGAGGCACTCTTTATCGGGGAGTGTAGCGATAAGATGAGCTGTAATGGTTTTAAGATGAAAGAGGGCAGATTTAGATTAGATACTAGGAAGAAATGTTTTCCTGCGCTGCTGGTGAGGCAGTGGCCCAGGTTGCCCAGAGAAGCTGTGGATGCCCCATCCCTGGAGGGGTTCAAGGCCAGGCTGGATGAGGCTTTGGGCAACCTGGGCTAGTGGGAGGTGTCCCTGCCCTTGGCAGGGGGTTGAAATTGATGATCTTTAAGGTCCCTTCCACCACAAACTATTCTGTGATTCTATATTTTCACAGCCACTAAAGAAAAAAAACCCTACCTTGTTAAGCATACAAATCTTAGTGTTGGAAGTGAACAGGAGCACCTTTGGGGAAACCTTACCCTTGATTTGTTTCCCCTTGACCATGTACTTCTCCATTAGAAAGGTACCAACAAAGTCTTGCTCTTGGGAGGTATCAGGCAAAGTCAGCCTCATCACTGAGATCCAGACTCCAGTTGGCTTTGGGTGCCATAGTGCAACGGTGCTCAGCCATGTGGTTCTGGTGATGCTCTTCCCATCCCCTCATCCAGACCTGAGCCACTGCCTGTCAAATTTATCCTCAGTACAGCTTGCAGCTAGTTTTCCCCTCCCCAAACAGAGATTAGTCAATAAATGAATGTCAGAAAGTATTTAGGAATATAATGCTCTAATACTACAGGCTTTCTCTGCACTTAGCTTCTAAATCTCTTTGGTGTTTCTGAAAAAGAAAAGAACAAATTGAAGTAGAGGATGTCTGGCGAGGGCCACAGAGGTGACCAGTTCAGTGCACCCTCCTGTTTGTTGCAAGCCCATGTGTTCAGCCCACTAAAACCTGCAAACTCACGTGTTTTCCCTTGCTGAACAGGAGGGATCTCAACTACTGCTGTAGATCTGTGGAGGTGGAAAGGTGGGAAACCAGAGGTTTTGTGCTAAGAGGTGTTAACCTGTTGTGATCTGGGTGAATGGTGATGGGCAGGAGGCAGACCCATGTCCCATCTCTTTTTTTTCCCCTCTGCACCCTTTCCTTGCAGGAACTACGCAGCACACATCAAGCGGCCCTTCTCGGTGAAGTATGAGCCCTACACCCACAGCATTGAGCTCCTGGACAGCCCTCAGACGATCTGTCACTCCCTGGAGAGCGTAAGGGATGAGCTTCACTCACTGATTAACGCACTCAATGTTATCAGTTAATACAAGAACTGGGCTCTTCCCTCCCTCTCTTCCCTTTTCACCCCAAAGCTGCCCACTCTGCCCTCGCCTCATTCCCCCCAAAACTCTTACCTGTCTTCTCCAAACATTTGCACTGCTGCCTGTCACCACGCGACCCCAACAGCTTTGCACGTTTGTCTGTAGGGCCAGCTCAGAGGAGGGCAGAGGGAGGGACCCAAGGCCTGCTGGCGTTTTGGGTAGCTTTCCTTTTGGCTGCTGGGACAGGCTTAGCACAGACCAAAAGCATGGCCAAGTTACAAGGTTGAAGTCAAGAGCTGTGTGCTAGGCTCCTGGGTGCAAAGAAAAGGAGAAAAGCTGCTTTATTATTTAAAGAAAGGAAATAGAGAAAAATTATATTTTTTGCAGTTTGAGAGAATAAATTAGTCTGCTTTTATTACCCCCAGAGCAACTCTTATAGCAAGTCCATGAGGGTCCCTCAGTCCCCACCACCTCCTTCTACTTACAGCCCCATACATTTGGGAAATGCAGAGGTGCTCTAGGAGCTTTTCTCCCTGAACCAACCCTATGAGGTTTGAAATGTCACCTCCCAGCCTCCCCTTAGCTTCTCACACAGGGGGTGCTTAGGCACGAACCCCTGAGCTGCCCCACCCCACCAGGCTGCAATAAGCATCGCAGTTCCCCTGAACCTCTAAATTGACTGAAGCCAGGATTTACCAGTCTGGCATAGAGCAGCCCTGACCTACCTGCATCCTCCCCAGCAAAGCACCACAGAGCAAGCCCTGGCCACCCCGGACCAGAGTGTGGGCACCCCCTTCAAGCCCTCTTTTAAAAACTCCCACAGCAGATAGCAGTCACAGCTAATGATGTCCTGCGTGCTGGTGGCCTCGGGCAGCCTGTTGGCATCCTGAGTTTATTGGTTATTGCAGACTAAGTGGGGCCACTGGTGTTCTGAGCTTGGCAGGGAGGATTTCACGCACTTCTGCTTTTCCCATCTATTACAGCATTGTCTTGTTCTTAGATACCCAAATGTCACTGTCACCCGCTGTAGTTCAGGTGTGTGATTAATGCTGTTGCTGGCCATTTCTGAGGAAGGTAAAGTATGGTTAGGATGCTCAAACCCAATTTCCTCCAGCTTTCACTGTTGATATTAATGGCTTGATCTGACCCAAAGCTCTCAGTTCTCCTCCCCCTGCTTTTGCCCTTCTTATCTTCTCGCAGGCTGCCTCATAACTTAGCGGTTTGCTCAGAAGTTTGGCCCAAGGTTGTGCAGCTGTGCAGTATCAGAGCTGGGCTTGGGACACATGGAGGCAGCTAAACAGCTGTGGGGGACAGCGGAGGGGAGAATTACACAGAGTTGTTTGTATGGTCAGTTATAACATTTCTGTGTAGGCTTTTGCCATCCTTGTCCACGATATATAATTATTATAATTTCCTCTTTAAAGAAATGCAAGGCTTAGCAGTTAAGTTTTGGCTATTAGGTGTCAAATATCCTCCGATGCTTATATACCATTGCTCTTCGGTGTTACTTTACTGTGTCTCAGTCACAACAGTTTACAATCCACTTTATCCCATTTCACACCTTCACATGCATAAGCTTAACCCTCAGTTCTCTCAAATTTTATCTCCATAGCTACTGACAGCACTTAGTCTCCCATCTCCTTCAATCCCTCCTTTCTGTTTCCTTTCTTCTTTGACCCGCCCCCCTCCTAAATTAATCCTAAATTGCTTAAAAGGCCATTACTGAAATCAGCAGTTCAACATTCAGGCTGGCTGCTTCTCCTCAACTTATTCCTTCTCAGAGGATTGTCCCATAAATGAATAAACCTGCTGAGTTCATTCAGTTATTGTAATTTTAGAACACTTTTTCCAAAGCTTCAGCTATGATTTCCCAATCTGGGTGGATCCAGATCTTGAGCTGTAGCTCTCAAGGCTTCCTTAAGAGCTGTAACTGTTTTTAATTTGGGGTCTTAAGTTATTACTATTAGATTAAGTAGCTGGAGCAAGCAATGCAAGACTAAGGCAGGTTAGGTCTTTGCTTTCTGGTCTGGCCTTGAAACCCATAAAGGTCTGGAGGTGGTTGCCTCTAGTTCTCCAAAGCATTTCACAGTCATCTGCCTTATTAAATGTCTACAATTAATGCAATTTATAAAAAGACCAAAGCTATTAATATGGAGTGAAAAGCCAAGTTAGAACACCTTGCAACTGCAGGAGCCCTCAACTCCTCTGCCTTGCCTCAGAGTCTGTGTTGCTGCCCTGTGGCTCTCTCAGCTGTTGCTTGTTCAAGGAGCTGTAGTAAAATCTGTTGCCCTACAAAAATAGCAAATAAGGAAAATTGGAAGCAGAAACCAGCCCTGTTAGTATGCAAACGTATAAACATCCAGGTGGGAGGTAAACACCATGTAGGCTGTACCCCCTTGCTTCCAAGAGATGAGGATGAATTGCACTCTTCCTCTCTCATTTTACCTATTTTTCTCATATTGTTGCTTCTACCTGAGCCTTGTTTTCTTCTTTATCCTGCCATAACATTTTAGGGTCTTAGATGTAGGGCCACCAAAGAATGAGCCATCCAAACAAAATATGGTAGGGTTGTAAACCAGTCCCTAATCTGTTACTGCTTCTTAAAGATACTAACATCGAGGTTAACTTTTCAGCCCATCATTTTGGATATTGTCCTACAATTTTCTTTAGTCTATTTTTAATAGTCTGACTCCTTTCTTTCTGCCAGTCTGGAGGATTGCAGGTGGTAGGGTATATGCAGTCCTTGCTTAATCCCCAGGTTACTCATCTGCGCAGGGAAGCTGTGGATGCCCCATCCCTGGAGGGGTTCAAGGCCAGGCTGGATGAGGCTTTGAGCAACCTGGGCTAGTGGGAGGTGTCCCTGCCCATGGCAGGGGGTTTGGAGCTTCATGATCTTTAAGGTCCCTTCCACCCCAAACCTTTCTGTGATTCACCAAGGTCCTTGGTTTAGCCAGGATTGTAGAGTTGGCAGCTTTCTTTTATTAGTTCACTTTTGCATTGCTGTGCACCTTATGCAGTTTTTATTCATGCCCTGTATGTCTTGCTTCTTTTGGGGCCAAATATATTTTCTCTGCGGTCTTTTTAGAGTGCCCCATACCCCTTAACATAACTTATTAAGACAGTCTAAAATGACTTGCTCTCACTCAGCCGGCCACAGTATCCACCCCACCTTCTCTTTCAGCTGATTCCTGGTTAGGGCTGCAGTAAACAAACTCTGAGTCAATTTATCTAGTTGCTCACTAAATCATTTCTCGGTATTGCTTTCAGTCTCCCCATGTACTTTAACATCCTTTACATAGGTTTTATTCCCACTTTCCCTCTAACCTTGTAAAACAAACCTCCTGTTTTCTTCATGGGTGTCCCATTATGTGCTTGCCCTCGCCTTTCTCCTTATCACACATCCAGTATTTTATTCTATTATCAGCACAGTGGCTATCTGTAGAGAGATATTGTGCAGAGGGGTTTCTGTCTTTTACTGACAGTCTGTAAGCTCCTTGGCATGATCCTTTCTCTAGTTTCCCCACCATTTCTTCCCTCATTCCACTAATAGAAGTATCTTGGATTATTTTTCCTCCTTGTTCAAATTTAGCACATGGGTGCCCAACACCTTTGGCTTATTACTGGTTTCCTTTAAGAGGATATCCACATTAATATCCATTTCTCCTCTTTGTGCTTAAGAGCAGAGCATGAGTAGACTAGGGTACAACTGGACTATTGAGGATGAAACCCTCAAAAACCATCACAGCCCAAACTGCCTCTAACTAGGCTTGCTCATGGCCAGGGAAGCTTTGGTCCAGTCCCTGGGGAGGGGAGGACCCATACGCTACTGATATATATTTTCCTTCACAAATTTTCTATAACAGTACTGCTCACACAGAATCAGCTCATATTGAAATTCTTATTATGAGTATTTTCCCCTTGACTGGGAATTTTAGTGTAAGAGCTTTTCAAGCAGCTTCTTTCACATTAGAAAATGCATTGTCCTGCTCTTTGCTCCAGCTCCCTTCCTGATTCTTTTTCTGTCATTTCCATAATGCTCTGCTGGTCCTAGCAAAGATGGATATGCTGCCATAAGATACCAGCACAGTCATAGATATGCTGCCGTAAGAAATTAAATCCTCCCAACACTCTTCAGAGTTGGGACTGATTAGCGGGAGTCTTTATTTCACAGGAAGCTTAACCTTTCGAGCATCTATCCATCTTCTTGTTTCACCACTTCCAGTTCCCAGGCAGCTAACCTGGGTTTGTGTTATTTGTGCCATATTCAAATTGACTTTAAATCCCACTCGGTTGATTAATTTTAAAACTCAGGTATTTTCTCTTGTACCTCTTCTTCTGTAGCTGCTGTCCCCTGAATATCATCCACATAAGAAAATTTTCTTTTCCTTGTTCCCAAGATACCATCATTCAAACACTTTCCTAATGCAAGTGAGTGCAGCAAGGCAGGTGCTTGGCTCTGTGGGATGCGAGTAAAAGTATATAGCTTGTCTCTTAATGTGAAAGCAGCCCTGTCAATTGCTTCTTCCCCTGCATATTGCCATATGGGAGTTTGCTGTGAATGGTGGGGGTGCATTTGTGCCGCTAGCTCTCCTAATTCAGCTGCTGTCCAAGGAGCCTGACTCAGCCCCGAGGCTGCCAGGGCAATGGCGATACCTGTGCTCTGCTGGGAGTGGGTGGCTGGGACACGGTATCGTGTCTGACTGGCATTCGAGCAGCTCCCCATCAGTTCAGTAAAGACTCTCTGTCTTCCTCAAGCTTATGGGCTGATGTTAGCGCTGCTAATTGCATGCTTGCCTCACCATTCTGCTGGGCAATTTGATTCAATGCCCACAATGGCATGATTAAATGCTCATCAAGGAGGTTGCCCAATGTGCAATGAATAAAAGCTGGTGAAGCACATGCTTTAAACAACTTACCGCTTAATTCCCATTTCATTCAAAATTTGAAGCAGTTTCTCTAAGTCCTATACCCCACTCTCCTGTTCTGCTTTCTTTTGGTGGCTTCATATCTGCATCTACCTGCCTTGGGGTCACTTTTTTTCATTGTAACAGCTCCTGCCATACCTCTCTGCCCTGGGATAGCACCTGTAGTCTTGGTGGGATATGCTGCTATTCTCAACTTCTCTTTCTTTTCCCATTTGCCCCTTATCATCTT